GTATAATATCGAGGCAATCAAACCTAATGGCGAACCATTAGCACCTAAGAAGACTGCGGACAAGTTCGTTCGTCAGTGCGGAGTTCTTGTGAAGGACCAACTCTCGATCTCCCTTCAAGAATGGAGAGAGCCAGCAAAGCCACGTCCAGATCTTACTTTTGTCGATGACAGACAAAAAAGTCTACTTTAGGATACTCTCATGGAACATTTCACCCTACCAGATCATTTCACAGAAGCAGATGTGCAGAAAGTCAAGGACGCTGCTCTTAGAAAGATGGCGGTTGCATTCAAGAACCACAAGAATCGTGAATGGGACAAGTACGTCAAGGGAGGAAGGAAGACTCCAGTATTCAAGGGAAAACTAGAGAATCAAAGTGCTCATTGGGACGATTTTGTGAAATTCAAGGATTCAGAATTAGCTAAGGAACGGTCGAGAATAAACAAGAAGAATGCCGAAAAAAGGATACGTTTCATAAGCTGGGGCCAGGTGGCTACGCGGTGGCAATGCCTAAGTGGGATAAGTCTGAGAAAGAGATGGAGGATGCAGGTGTCACTCCGGTTACTAAGAGCTAGCCCCCCAGGTGCAGGACTTGGTTCTATGCGCATGGAGGGGAGTTGGACCCGAAGACAGGCAAAGTATCGACGAAGGCATGTCTGAACGGAGCCGACGATAATATACTTGTTGCAATAGAAGAGGCTCGAACGGGGGTTCCAGCCCAACAGAGAGAACGACGAGCTTATGCGTGCCCTGGGAAATCCTGAACACCCGGGAAGAACACGAGGCAAGGGCGCTATTCCGTGGTATGAGGGGTTTTCGGACTGGAACGCCGACTACAGAACCCATGCGAGAAGGAAGATTGCGGAGGAGAAGCAGATGAAGATGGAGGAGGAGAAGAGGAAGCTGGACTATGAACGCCTTCAAGGCCTAGAATCAGTGCACACGGACTTGGTAGTCAAATTCCAGCGACAGCAGGAGCAGATCGACTCACTTAGCCAGCAAAGGGGGTCTCAGCAGCTGCAGCAGCTAGCGGATGATCCAGCATTGGATACCACCGCCCCATCCATGCCGAGAAGCAGCGTGGGTTCCGCCCCGTTTGACGCAATGCTGGATAGATACCCTGTGAATGACATCGCGGAGAACACTAACTGCGAGCTACACTTCAAAATTAAGAACATATCCTTGAAGGTGGCGGACAGCGTTGCTTATACAAATTCCCCCGATGCAACCTTCCATTGCAACCCGATTCCAGCAGGCTATGCTTGTGTCGTGGTTGATGAGGTGGTGGACCAATATTCGGGGCTAGAGCTTCACATTCCTGGAGGTGACGAGGAGCACACACTCGGATATGCCAAACATCGTATCATCCTATGGAGAAAGGATTGCATCATCTTTCGAAGGCCACCGACACCGCGTCACCCGACTCCTCGTCGAAGTCCGCCACTGAGTCAGCAGACTCCCGCTCCTTCAAGTCCACCAACGCGTGAGGCCACTCCTCCTCCTCCAAGTCCGGCAAAGTGTCAGGCCACTCCTCCTCCAAGTCCGACACAGCGTCAGACGTCCACTCCTCCTCCAAGTCCGGCACAACCTCAGGCCACTACAAGTACGACACAGCTTCAGGCCACTCCTCCTCGTCCAACTCAGCCCCGTCAGCCGTCTCCGCCGCCTCAGCAATCGCAGAAGAGACACCCCGCAGCTATGGTGTGTAGCGGCACGAGTCGAGGTCATAGTACAGGATGTACAGGCGGAGGCAAGCGATATAAATATGGTCCAAACCTCACTACTCCTCTTCCTGAGAGGGCTTACGACAGGACCGAGGAGCAAACCAATGCCATAGTGCGGGCAGAAGTCGACGCCCATTTTGGACCGAAACCGCCACCGCCGCCAAGGGAGAAAGTGCCTGTGGAAGTAGTTGACCACTTCATTCGTATGGCTCAACCACCAGCTCCTAAGCCTGTTGACACAGACTATGAGCGCCACATCAGGAAGTTACATCGACAACGTCTACAGAAGGAGGCGAGCTCGAGCTCGAGCAAACAACAAGCAGTTGTCAAAAAATGCGGGAAAACTGTTGCCCAGCTGGGAGAATAGGCGGCCCAATCGATCCCCTTGTTTGTTGTGCCGCCAACAACACGTGACAGTATGCGCGCCCAATATTATTGTGGGCAAACAGTTTACGTTCCCGAGGTGGGCGATGTGGTAATAACCCAGGAGCATATAATGCAGGCTGAAACTCTCAACATCACTGTTGGACAACTCCTCGAGATCGAGGACATGCCTGTGCTTACAGAAGAGGAAATAAAACGCAAATATGCCCGGGGCCAACCTTTGGTCAAGCCAGAAGAGGTCAAGAAGCTCCCAACAAGAATGTATGAATTGCATCAATGGTACATGAACATTACCAAGAGATCCGATTGAGAGTCCCTCATGATGCAAGTCAAGAAGGCTCATTACTACCATCAGAAACCTGTGACCGTTGAGTATTCTGAACTGTTTCAGTTATACAATCAAGACGCACTCGACAAATCTATCATCAGTTGCTATTGTTTGTAAGTGATTTTTTTCTGTAATTTAAGTCTCAAGCTAGCTGTAGTGATCCTTTTGATCAATCATTACCTGTAATTATCCTCACTATATTCTTTTCTGTGGTATTATGCAGGATGAAGATGTATGAAATGAGAAAAGGTGGACGCTATGGCATTGGGTTCATTGACCCAAACACCGTTAATGAATACACATGGAAAATAAACAAGCATCATGAAAAGCAGGTAGAGGACAGCATGCTAGAGTTCTTGAAGCGCCTCAAATACAATGAAGATATACTACTTCCTTACAATTTCCACTGAGTCACACTGTCTTGTACTACAAATTCTCTGTTTTTGCCTACTAGCTAGCTACATGTTTTTGCTTACATATGCCCGCTTAATTAAGACATGCAAACGTGCGTGCATGCAGATTTCACTGGATCTTGTGTATCATTAAAGTTGACGCCGGAACAGTTGAAATACTGGACTCACTACTCAAAGCAAATAGTGACTATAACATCTTGTTTGGGATAGTCAACAGGTAATTTCAATCATTATTAACTATATATCTCGGCCTATTTAGTTCGTCATTTCATGATATGAACTATTTAATAATCCCTTTATTCATTTTCTTTGTCGGCGGGCAGGGCTTGGGCAAGGTTCATCAGCATCAGGAAGGCGAATGGAAACGACAGCTGAAATGGTTTCGACCCAAGGTAAGTAATTAAGTAGTACTAGCTAGCTAGCTAGCTGCCATCTCTTTAATTATCATGCTTGATTAATTATTATCTGATCAAATTAAATTCCATTCTCGTAATAAAGGTCCTGAAGCAGGCGTAGGGGACTGATCTGTGTGCATTCTGCGTTTGCGAGAACATTCGCATGATGGCGTCCGAAAGGAGCAGATCTCAAAGACAGGAATGGGTACGCTTGTCAGAACACTATTCACAATTTTTACACCATTATCGATATCTAGTCACACAACTAATACACATGCATATTGATCTCCTTCTTAACAGTTCACAGAGGTGCGGGACAAGCTCCTAGAAACGGAGCGCGTAGAAGCACTTCAAGAGGAAATAGCGGGATTTTTGCTCGACCAAGTCATAAATCCGAAGGGAGAATACTATTACCCGCTATCGCCCCCATCGACCAGGTCATGAACCACTTCCAATTGTCATCGTGCTCCGAAGGCACCAATTAGACTAATGCCACTGGCTCCGAAGGCAACATGCATATGTAGGAGAAATTGTATATAGCTATACATGTGTGTATATGTGAATTAATATGGTGGTTTGTGAGACATTGATGATATATATATGATTGATTCTACTAGAAATTCTATATATATATATATATATATATATATAATGTGTACAATGTGTACTATCGTAAAATACCAGCAAACGAAAAAAATTAAAATGGAAAACACAAAATTAAATGAAAAAGAAATCATAAAACCAAAACCCCCCCAAACATTTTAGTACCGGTTGGTGTTACCAACCGGTACTAAAGGGCTCCCGGCCCCCGGAGCTGGCTCGTGCCACGTGGTTGCCCTTTAGCACCGGTTCATGCTAAACTGGTACTAAAGGGGGGGCCTTTAGTGCCCACACTTTAGTGCTGGTTATGGCCTTACGAACCGGTGCTATTGCCCGGTTCTGCACTAGTGCGGGCTGCTCGTGCCTCGAAACTCAGGAGTCCTAATGCGCGCCGGACCCGGCCGACGCGGGCATGAGGACCCAGCGATGGCCGCGTGCCACCTCCGATGCAGAGGGTGGTGGTGGGGGGCGGCTTACCTGGAGGAGCGGAGCGGCCGGAGCCGGGAAGGGACGGCGACGTCGCCTACGCTGACGAAGTTTACCCGGTGCTATCGCATCCACCTTGGTCGACCATCGAACGCCTCAACGCAATGCAGAGGACGACCTCCTCCTCATTACCGTGCTTCGCTTCGCGCAGCGGGCTTACCCAATCGTCCTTGGAGGCGGATTCCCCACCCAAGGCAACGCTGATTCGGTCATCGGCCATCGAATGCGCTCGGAGGGGATCAAAAGTGGAGCGGACGGAGAGGGGAGTGAAGTGGAGTTCAGATTGGCTGTGATCTAGGGTTTTTCGAATGGGGATATTTGTGGGGCAGGCATGGGCCAGACTGGGCCAAGCCGGCGTGGCGGACGTGTCCGGCCACCCCATATCCGTCCGATATTTGGGCTGCATATGAGGGGTGCCTGTCCGGGCGTTTGAGCTCGTTTGAGGCGCCCGGCTGGGTCAAAATTTTGTGGCCGGTTGGTTCGTTCGGACGTTTGAGGCGGGTTTGGAGTGCCCGGCTGTAGATGCTTATGCACATATTTCTTCTCCTCTTCACCAGATAAAAAGGTTGACCAAATTGCAGCAAAACACAAACCATAAACTTTATTCATTTCAACCCAACCCCTGTGTACAAAGCTAGTTACAAACACGACGCACCACCGCCGCCGCACGCCTCACGCGGCGAGGAGGTACCTGAACCGGAACTCGTAGGGCAGCACCTGGATGCGGCGGCGTGCGTCGGCGGCGGCGACGGCGCGCATGGCGCCCTGCTGCAGCTCGGGCGGCAGCTGCACGCACACCCAGTCCATGAGCGAGTCCACGTCCTTGGCGAAGTCGAGCAGGTACCAGTGCAGCAGCTTGGGGATGGCCAGGCTCGCCGGCGCCGACACCCCCACCGCCGCCTGCAGGTAGTCCCGCTTCGCGCCCTCCAGCTCCTCCTCCACCCGCGCCGCCGTGTACACCCTCACCTGCACCACCATCAGAGCGAAAAAGACAACCCGTCCCCATCATCAGCGCCACCGTCGCCGGTAGTAGTACAGAAGAACTATTGCGTGCCACTGCTGGGATCGAGATCGAGGGAGAGGGAGAGCTTACGGCGGGGGAGGACCAGCTGCCGCAGGAGAGCGCGAAGGTGACGAGCGGCTCCGGCCACTCCAGTCCGAACGCGCCAGCGCGCGCCGCCTCGTCGCCGCCCTTGGTTCCCTCGGCGTCAGGGCTCACCTGCCGGACGGACGATCACGGGTCATACGTTCAGCTTCAGCGTCAGACAGTTCATATTCTACAACATTCGCTAGCTACGGCGGCGTTATCGACGGCGACATGCTGCACGTACGTGCTTGACGCTGTAGGGCAGGCGCAGGATGAAGTGCTCGATGGACATGGCGCTGTGCGTGCGCCCGCCCACATCTACCGTCGCCTGCAACCAAAATCACGCCCGTGTCAGACCACCATCTTTAATCTTACTGCAGGTAGAGGCAGCAGGCACGGCTGATTTGAGTAGGCCGTTCCCGGAGCATTGAGGAGGTAGGGCAGGGCAGGGCAGGGGTGGTACCTTCGGCATCATGGCCACGAGCATGTGGGGCGTGGTAGGTATCCCTTGCTCCAGGAATGCCTGCAGTACATGGCGTAGTATTATTAAACTCGCAAGATCCAGCAAGTAACTCGAGCCTACTTCCGGCGATGATCAGGGCAGGGGACATGAACCATTTATTTACTCACTACTTAAACCAAAAGTATAATCACCATGGACGAACCAACATGCCAGCAATGTTCAAACTTACTAAAGAATAAGCAAGCAAGCATCGTCAGAAGCACTACCAGTACCCAGCATACGAACAGTAGCTATGAATGAACCTCCCAAAAAAGCCCCAGCATACGAACAGTAGTTCCAGGAAAACCGATGCTTATAATTCAGCTAGATGCAACTGCCCCGGAAGACCAAATTGCACGCCAACAGGCTAGAGGCTAGAACCATATGTGTGTATACTCCTACTAGATAGCCTGAAGATGTGAATAGTTCAGAGACGGTGTCAATGATGGGTGGGTGCCAGCGGAGCTCACATTCATCATGCAGGAGTTGTAGACGTTGATCCAGAAGGCCAGCTTCTGCTGGTGCGAGAGCCCCTCCAGGCCAACCGCGGCCAGCTTCCGGAGCAACGCCCTGCGCGAGATTCGCCAGATCAGCGGCGCCGCCGGGTCAAACGGCCACCCCTACTCACCGGACAGCAAAATCTAGTAACTTGGAATCAAGACGGTGGTGGCCGTGACAGCGAGCTCACCTCAGTCTCCGAGCGAGGAGCGTGTTGCCGGCCAGCGCGTCGCGGTCGAAGGACGCCGCGTCGACCACGCGCAGCCGCCGGTAGGGCCCGACGTCCCGCCCGCCCAGCTCCAGGATGCCGTAGGGGTCCTGCGGGTACGCGTCCTCCGACGACGATCCTGACACCGACGGGGACAGCGGCTGCTGCTCCTCGTCTTGCCCGCTGGCCGGCGCTGCTGTCGACGACGAGCCCATCTGCGAGAAGATGGTCAGCAGGCAGCTCAGCAGCTCCTCCGACAGCCTGTTGGGCGCGCTCGACCCGTCCGGGGCCGCCGCCTTCTCCGAGTCATTGCCGGCAGCGTCTGCGGCCCTTTTCCGGTCAGGCGCCGTACTGATCGCCTGCTGTCGAAAAAAATGCAGAGTTTGCAGCACGAATTCAGCAAACGCACCACAGAGACAGGGAAGAATATTTTGGGGACAATTCATTCAGCTGCTGGCAGTAAAACTGTGGGTAATTCGCTGGCTTTACCTGAGGAGCAGCCCTGCGTTTCTCTGGCGCCGCTGCCGCCGGCGCCCTGGATTTGGCGGCGACCTTCTGCGACGGCGGCAGGCGGCAGTTTCTGGCCGTCGAGGTGTTGCTGCACGACAGGTTCTCCTTTCCGGCCCCGGAGACGCCGGAGTGCTCGTCCTGGCTCGCCTGACCGGGAGTCGGTTTTCTTGGCGTCTGCGTCTGCTTGCCGTTCGGCGACGGACGAACAGTTGGAGAGAGCTCCGCATTTGGGGTTGGGCTCGACGGCATGGGCTGCGCCGGCACGCATCCCTCGCCGCCGCCGCCGGGGAGGTGCGCGTTCTTGGCGGAGGAGAAGATGATGGCCTCCTGGTAGATGCCTTGGCGGAAATTGACCACCTGCTCCTCCAGCCGCACCACCTCCTCCTCCAGCACGGCCACCTCCGCCAGAAGAGCCAGCGTCTGCGCGGCGCAATTCACTTCAGAATCGAATTGCTCCAAGCAGAAATCGAATTGCGATGCAGAATGCGGGTGGGCACTGACCTGAGACGGCAGGTAGGGGGGCAGGCGGGGCAGCGCGCCGAGGGGCCTGGTGAAGGCCCGCTCCAGAGCACGGTGGACGTTCTCCTCGTGCCGCAGCTTCTTCTTCAGCTTGTCCACCTAGCAAGCACAATTCCCAACACCGTCAGCAACGCAATGCGCACAAGCATCCCAAGTCCTTCGATTGAACAAAATCAAGATAGAGTTCACGCACATCCTGCTGCAGCGCGAGCTTCCGCTCTCGCCTCGAGTGGACTCTGCTCGCCGCGCCGGCGGTCGGCCCCTTGGCCGGCATGGCCTTCCGCTGGTCCTTCTGCATCATCATCTGGAGTAGAACGCAAAATGCCATCAGGGAAAAGAGGGAAATTAAAAGAGGCTCGCTCATTCAGCTAGCTGGCTGTCAAAGAAACTACCAACAAAAGCAAAGCGACAGATTCCTGGCCGATGAAAGGTAAAGCACAGCGGATTAAAGGGGCAAAATTGGGGCTCGCCAGCGATCGAGAGGGTATCCAATTCGAGCTGCTCCTCCCCAAAGCAACCGATGCCGTGGAGACGAACCAGCCCGCATGGATCATCGCTTGGCATTGCACGAACATCTGACGGAACTACAGTGCTCGTCGTTGTACTCTTCCGCGTTTAATAGTCCGTCGGACGAAAAACGACATGGACGGCGCGAAAGATTATCGGCAACCACTGCCCGGAAACGCTAAACAACTTCAGATGGACACAGATGCTAACCAACCACGGAAAGGCGCACGGAGACCGAAGAGGAAAAAGGAAAAAAAACATTCAAACACGGAGTTCGAACGACTGAGGCCCCCGGACAGACGGCAAAGTCGCAAGCTTTCCGATCATGCGGGCGGTGGCTACCGAGGGCGGCCAGGGAATCGAGAGCCCGGAATTCCAGGAAATAACCGCACATTGTCACCTCCTGGGCGCTCAATTCCACGAACAAAGGTGCGCAATTCTAATCATCTTCCAAATGCTAGTGTCAGAGGCACAGCCAGAGCTCCCAAAAGAAACAGAGAGAGAGAGAGAGGTTGAAGAAGCCTACCCTGTCGCTCTTCGGGGCGGCCTTCGCGCCGTGCGCCGCCGCCGGCCTCCGAGCCCGGCCATTCATCTCCGACGCCGTGCGCTCGCCTCTGCCAACACCAGGAGGGGCCGGTGCGCTGCTCCTTCCGTCGCGAGGAGCCTGCGAGTTAAATCCTCTTCGTGGGGGGCCTACGGACCGCGAGGGAGGACTCCAGCGCCATTAAAGGCACCGCGAGCTCGGCGGTGCTCCTGGGCGGCGGGCGGTCCAAGCCACCGCGGCCAGACGAGCAAAGCGCGACCTCTGCTGCTGCTGGCGGATTCGGTTGGGTGGCGTTCCCGATTGGGTTAACGGCGGGATTGGTGGGCGTGCGTCTGCGTGGGAATTGGGAGATTGCGGCGAGCGATGGCGATGTGGGAATCGGGTTCAGCTTGCAGGTTGCCCAGCCAGCCCCGTTCTAGTAGTACTACTAGTTGCGTTCTTGCGGTGGCGTAATTGAGCTCTCTCATTTTGCAGGCAGCACCCTTCGTAAATCTCTATTTATTCAGTGTACGGTCTGATTTTACAACTTTTTATTTCCTCCGATGAGTTGTGACCGAGTTCAAATGATTTTTGAGCTTTGTAATTAATATATTTTCAAACGTGTGGTTTGATTTGTAAATATCACCTCCCGGAAATCTATTCCTGCCCCTTGCAAAATTAAAACACATCAGTTCCTGCATTTTCAATAGTCTCTCGGAAACATATAGTTGTGACATTTTTCAATAGTGGCTCTGGAAAACATACATTAACAACATGCCGGGTGCGGACTTATGGAGGCCGAGATCCACAGAGCTCGGCATTTTAAAAAATATATTTCAAAGTTTCAAAAATATTTGAAAAAAATCCATGAAAACTTATATGTGTTCGGTACTAACATGTAAAATTTCATTTGGAAAATATTGTGATTTGTAACCTGCACAGAGAAAACAAAGTTTTGCCCCAACAAAAAAAAGGGCCCATTACAACAAGACATATTTGTCTCTTTACGCCACATGTGAACATCTAATATTATAGAATTTTGCACATACATATTATACATGTGTATGTGTATTCACAATAGAATTCGGTTTTGTTTACGCCGTATAAAATGGTATTTCCGTACCAACCTCCGTGGAGCTCCATCTCCTTTGGCATTTTTCGCAACATGCCTTGCTTTTGAGATGTATTATAAGATTATCTTCAACAATTGTAAGATATTTGCGGATAAATTTTAGCTCCAGACATATTATCATGTAGGGGTAGAGAAATCGCTCGATACTTGATTATTGCAACTACCGGTGGGCTGGCTAAGATTTCGACCATCTGCGCCCTCCGACATCCCTGCTACTCATATCTGGTTGTCTGCGGTCCACTGATAACCGCCCAGTGTCGTCCATCCCTTGTTTTCTCCATATCCAACTTCTATATCTAGGCACAATGGATGAACAACTGCAGTAACCTGGTGGCATGAAGGTATCGACACGAGGAATATCATTTTTTTGTGTGCCCAAAATTGTAGAAAAACTTGTATGCCTCTTAGATGTTTGTGTGTGAAAAGGCTTAAGGCTATAATATCAAGATTCACATAACCTTACAAACACACCAAAAAATAAAAATAAAATTATCATCAAAGCCTTGGGGATGCCAAAGTATTATTCCTCCTGCATCCATCAGCGGCGGTGGTTAGCATAGGTCAATGCCGCCTCTAGGAATCCGCCTTGGCAGAGCAAACATTTTGAAACCCGGGAGTTTGTAGAAGCAAACGGTGAGAAAGTCGTAGAGGCACACCAGGAAATGCTGGCGGCGGCAATCTACGAAACAAATTGTCGCCTCGGAGAAGAGAACGCCGATAAGGGCATGTAGAAACTCCAAAGACCACGAAAGCTGGCTGAATTCAGTCGGATCCACTGGAAACCTAAATCAACCGGACCCCGGAAGCGCAAAACTATATGGTCTTCACTAGTGATAGGTACACCAACAAAATGGGGATAGGGGGAGCCATTATTCTTAAACTAGGAAAGTGCCGCCTCCATGTTGTCCAAAACCAAATGTGAAGACTTCCTAAATAAAACTTGAGACAAATTACACACGCCATTGTACACCAAGTCCGAATTTGAGATCGAACTCGTCTTCGTCCAAGCCCATGCGAAGTCAAGCCCGCATCTCCACCTTCGACCATTGCAGCTCTCCAAGACCTCCAAAGACTTCTCTAGCAAGCCGCCCTTGAACCGGACCTCCTTGCCCCCCATGGCGACACACCCTGATGGCGACGAGAAAGTAAGGCGACGAGAGGCGTCCGTTATCGTCTCTCAAGTTGTTGTTGGCTTCGCGAGCACGAGCTTAATGAGTACAACTCACTGATCCACCCTTGCGAGACCATACTACTGTTTCGGGCAAGCTTCACCTAGAGAGTAACTTGGGATATTCTCCCACCTTCCATTAGGTGACTCCGTTGAAATTATTGTACTCGTATGATGGGCTATTGGTTGGTTAATGACATGACAAATTGTGGTGTACTCCCTTCGTTTTTATCTATTTCACACATCAGGTTTGTCTAAAATCAAACTTTATACCACACTTTCAACAAGTTTACAAGACTCACTACTCCTAGTAATTGGGGAGTATTTTTCTTCACGCCTGCATTTAAGATGGTTGACCTGGCAAGATTACACGCTTGGGGTCTCACAGTCAGTCACTGCACGTACTCTTCAAGTGCGACGTTGCATTTAGGTTCAGTAAATTCCGGTTTTCACGCCGGCGCGCTCCGGAGGCTCCTGTAATTTATGTTCGATGGCTTGAGTGACTCCGGGGCCCAAGCGTGTTCGCTGCGGGCCAGGAGGTCGGACGGACGGACGACGGGCCCCGGCCGGCCACGCTGGTAAATCATGCAGCAGCAGCAGCAGCGTGCAGGTCTCACTTCACAGCTTCCTCCAGGGATCGTTCGATGGCTTCGCTCACCTTTTTACTGGGCTCACTCGATCGCCTGCCCTCCGTCTTGGTCGACTCGAGTCGCGACGTGCGGTACAAATTATCGCCCGTTTGTGACACGCCGGTGGGCGGTGTGATGGCCGTGCAATGCAATGGCGGAGGAACAGTTGACAGTTCTACTTGCTCTGCTCTAGTGGCCAGCAATATGGTCATACTAAGCTCGCAGCACCAGATGTGTGCGGTCACATGACTCCACGTGTTTAGGTTAAAGACCGTTCACTCCTTCACAAAAACTGTACCAAGACCGCAAAGGCTCTCTGAGGTTACCGGCAGTGATATTTGGTTTCAGAGTTACTTGCAGCCGGTTTTGTGCACCGTCAGTGAAGAAAATATTTGTCATCAAAATGGATAAAAAGGGAGAAAGCTGCATCGGCCGCGACAGAGGAAGGCACGCACGCACGCGAAGAGGGGCACATGCCGATCGCGGAGCGCAGAAGCAATCCGGTAATCCGGAGTGGCATCCCCACGCTTTCCGCGGCCAGCGAGCGGCTCGGGTCCATGTCGGCCGAGTTTGCCCACGTGACCTGCAGCCCATTCATGGCCCGCCCCAAAATGTTTGGCCGCCAGAATTGAGTGTTTGACACTGGAGTACTGGAGTGGAGATACTACGTTCGGCAGAGACCCGTCCTGTACTGCTGTACGTACGTACCTATGCCGCTTAAGGAATGGCTTCTAGCCACCTACGGACATGCCTACGCACGGGTCAATCATGAGTAACGCTTCTGCTTAACGGCTTGATAAAATGTTTCTCTAATCGAACGATCGATCATTTGTGTGAAGAGGTTAGTTGGGTGGTCGCCCGTCGCTGATCTGTAGACGTACCGAGCGCACCTATGTAATATGGTCATTTGTACCTAGCCCTAGCTGAAGCAATTTATTTGTGGACGTACCGAGCGCACCTATGTAACGTACCGCTCGTCAGGCCACGACAATGCCTGCATTTCCGCGGAGGCAAACTGAGGTTGTGTCTTTGGTTCCAAACTTGTCTCGCACTTAAAGCCTGGCCGGCAAGAATATATGCTCGCTGCACCTGAAAAGTCTGGCATCGCATGTGGAGAGGTAAAATAACTAGTTACTAGTAAATGTCAATAAAGCTTACTTTCGAACGCCTGCTTACTCTAAGCACATATTCATTCATGTTATTGCGTACCTTTTGCGTCAGCTGAAATTCACACGACAGAGATGGACAAAAGGGATGGTCGATCTTCGTCAGTGTATGGAGGGAAAACATACGTACCGATGAGAACATTCTGTCTAGCCAGCAAATCTTGTTCATGTGACAGCGGACGGGCCTGCCTAGCTTTGCACCATCTATGTAGCGTGCAAGACGACCGTAGACCTGGAGAGCTAGCTAGAGACGGTGAAAGAACGCATGCATGCATCGTGCAATGCACGTACAGAGTAGGGCACTGTCCAGTCGTCCAGCACCAGCACGCAGCAGCAGACGAAAGAAGAGAAGAAGCAAATCGGCCGAAGATCGTTCGTTGGCGTGGTCCATGTACGCTACACAACGCCCGCGCGTTTGCTGCTTTCCTGCTACACAACGCACGCTAGGAA